ACAGATATTTTGAGAATGAATAATAATGGGAAGTAAGTGTTTTGACTAAATCATTGTCAGACGTAATGTATGTGCATGTGTGAGACCCATCTGAGTATTTCATCAAGCAATCTATTATCTTCTGCGCTTTCTTGAATTGGAATGCAGTTTCTCTCATTAGTGCTTTGAATTGCCAACAAGGCCAGTGCTGATGGCAACTGATGGGGCCCCCCTTCATCAACATACTCCTTTTTGTTGCTCCGTAATATATGCAGCATTACTAAAACATTATTCTGTATTTTTTATGATCCGGCAGACACAGGGGTGGTAATTTTTTTTACATCTCTAAATCCAACCCTGTCTCACATTTGATGTTAAATTAATTTCGTATCTTGAATGTACATTTTTTCCGTCGTCTTGCCTATTCTCAACATAGCGCCAGTGTTTGAAAGGCGTGCGAGTTGAGCTCAGTTCATCAGTTATAATTCTATTTGATAGACTCACAATAGCATGAAATATATAATATGATAGACTTTATTGTCCCCTCAGCACATTTTTTTTTTCTTCTCTCGTTCATGCATTTTGCACACAGACTTCTGTCTGGCTGAATGAACTCGCTGTATTCTTTCATGTACATCTTTTTGAGAGAAGATAAAACTTTAAGAACATATATCCAAACTCAAAGCGTTTTAAGAGTTCCACAAATCCAAGCATGATTCTACACTATTACATGTTATGGTTATTGATATGCAAATATGTGGAGCTTATGTGTGTTTTAATGGCTCAATTAGTGTTGTAGTCGAGACCACCTAACCCGAGACCAAAACATGGCCAAGACCAGTGTACCGAACTGAGACAAGACCAAGAGGGGTCGAGACCGAGTCAAGATAAAGCGAGACCGAGTCAAGACCGAGACCACACCAAATTTAACTTTAACCATTTTATCTAGCACTTTTAAAACGGGACGTGCTGTGTAACTGGCCTGTGTGTGCTCTGATCTGCCTGAAACTTTACACATGTGCTCTGAGTCCCACCCAGGACACGTCGCCACCACGGCCATGATTCACAATAAAACAGGAAGTGGCTTGTAACTCGGCCGCACGTGCTACGATCTGGCCGAAACTCGACCCACCGGATCAGAGTCCCGCCTGAAGCGCGTTTCTGCCAAACCCTGATGTGTGCGAAGGCTGACAAACTTAACACAATGTAGTTTTAAGGCAAGTGTAAGGTTGTAATACTCGCGTCTGCATCTTCAAACAAACATTCAAAATGGAATGAATCAAATATTCAATACTTGTGCCTTCATTTTTATCTTGTTTTCAAAAAAA